AATTTCCCAAATCGAGTAGAATAGAGCACAAACCGGCTTGGTGACCACCGGGAAGGATTTACTTTATAGTTCGGTAGCAGTTTCGTCACGCTTAGACACCAAGCGACCGATAACTTTTTACCCCATGGTCGGAGGACCATAATAGGTGTCATATGAGGAGACTGATTTCCAAAAACGTTCACCGGTATACCTAGTGGACAACTGAAAAGCTGGGTAAAATTATTACGCGTCTGGTTAGCATCTTACCATTGATATTTGAGGACAAATTCGAGGGAAGAATCACACAGGATAGGTTGCATGGACTAATCTACCGGATGCTGATCACATTAGGCGAAAGGAGCTCCCCGTGTGACATGGACTGGTTGGATTTCCATTATAATCGCTATTCCACTACATTAGTCGCGCCTGTTTAATCTTTTTGAGCGAGTTGCTTCGCATCCGAGGAGTTGGTATTTCTGCAACCAGCTCAACAGCCGTCTCTGATCAGGGTATCGGTAGGAACCGGAACGACGACCGTTACCAACAATCACAGTCAATGTGCGTGAGTTTAACCGTCTCCGCTAATCAATTGAAGGAAAGTTATTTTAAAAGGTCGAATCGCGAATTTTGTCAACGGCTGTGGTTGCGATCCGTCTTCACAGTCCTTCCCCCAGTAGGATTATTAACAGTTTGTAAGAACAACGGTCCTGCTATGGTCATTCGCTTCTATTCATTCATACCCACCCACCCAGCCTATAAAACCAACAAAACTCGTATCACAGTTCTGCAATCTTGTTCGAAATTCTGCATCCTTTTTCATTTACATCAGGTGAAATATGAAATGTGTTGTATTAAACGAGTTGATGAATCACCAAACGAAAGTTTGTTTTCTAATCTGTGTTCTTATGATCATTTATTCGAACTATTTTCTCATCTCAAACAGGTGTCTGACTCAGATGCTTCCGTTTTTAACATATTGTTAAGTTTCACTCTCTTCGTGTGTCTTCATCCGCAAAGTGTGAATCAGGACACAGTTCGGAACTCACCGGATTCGGCAAAATCCAGCAACGTGAGCAGATGACAGAGTAGCAGTTGCATAAGTAAACCAGCCGACGAACCGGGTCCAGTCTCGTTCAGTGTGAGCAGTGAGAGTGAGGTGGCCAGATGTGGATGACTGCAAAAATGCTGTAGCGTTCTGTGCAGAATGCAGCGGAACACATCTAGCGGAAGTCTGTGCGAAACAAGGCCAGCGGGCAAGAATAAACAAATCAGAGAACGAAATAGGTAAGGTGAGAGTATGAAGTTCGTGGCATTCGATAGAAACGAGAACAAAAGGTAACGGAATAAAAAGTCAATCGTTCCGACGCAGAAATAATCGATTAAAGACGGAGGTTATCACTGATGAGCAGTATGAGGAAAATCAAAAAGGTTTATTAAGGGACCCAGATTTTGTTATGCTATTCGACCCGACCTTCAGTATCTTCTGCTATATGAATCAGAACAGTGCAGTTGACGATCAGTGTGAAATTTATTGGGCAAATCTTCGGCTTCATAAAACCCTTAACTTTCGAATCCAGTCGCTGCAAAATGAACCCAATCAAGAGGTGTTTTACAAACGGTGCAGCAGTACAGGTCAATATCACATCGAATCGGTGTCCGTGTGTTCACATCTCACCACTGACGTTTTTATTGGCAAATCACTGTTTCCCCAGGCAGCTACGCGACTAATTCTCTAAATCCGATAAAAGATCACCGGATCAATACAAGACTGACTGAAACGTTCGAAGAGGTAGTCGCATGAGGGTAAGGAGGAGGTCAATTGCAGTTGTTGAGCGGAAAAGAATATCAACGCATCATTCGAACCGAGCTACTAAAGGTCCGTACACAATCGGAATGATAAATAGGATGTTTTCTCCGAGTTCCGGACAAAAGGTGGCATTATCACGAACCGCAATCCTTCTTCTCACCGAACCACGAACGAAACGGCACATATCAAGAGTAAAATCAAACAGGCTGGGATCGGATACAACTAATTTTGAACCACTTCACGCACTGTTTTTGGCCATAGCGAAAGCTTCACATACATGGGACTCAATTGGTCGATTCAAATTCCGACGACTCACCTTATCGGAAGGCACTGTCAGACAGATATGTTAGTCCCATGTGATCATTCTTTCTGCACGGATAGTCAAAGCCGAGTTCAGGTGTGTGGTAATCCCTAACCTGATTACATCACTAAAACCAGTATTTGTCAGGGTTGTTTGTTTTTTACTTGTGTCGGGGGGATCCGGCTTCGAAGGATGATCTTTCTTCGAGCGAGTTTTCCTACACTGAGAGAAAACCAGCTGGATATTATGGAACATTTCAATTTTGGTACGCGGTCTAAACTTACCAAACGTAAAATACATCACACAATTCAGTCGACCTAATTTCACAAAACAGGTACATACGGACGGAGTGCACAGAATTAGTGCGCTCGTGACGCCCAAGCCGAATCGACACCTGATTGGATGACTACGGCGAGTCAAATACCCGTAGTCCGATCGATCAACCTGAGTGTCAAGGTCGCGATCTGATTAGTGCGTCATCACGTTTTTTCTCGTATGCTCAATTTACCATATATATTTGCGTGTTGTTTCGTGATCAACAATACACTCTGACTGTCGTTTCTCAGCCGTGTTCTTTCTCAAATTGTTGTTACCTAGACAAGAGGCGCACGTATCAATCATACGTCTTGGCATAACATAACATAACAAATGGCGATGGAAAAATTGGGAAGTTCAATAAATTTTTCAGCAGACCAATTCCAACTCCTGTTAATGCAACAACAGAAGCAGATGGAGGCTCAACTGAAACTGATTGAATCATTGACGCAGTGGCTCAATCTGCAAAGAACAGAATCCATTTTGCGAGAAATCTCCTCTAGCGCTACCGAAATGCTTGCAAATTCAATCACTGAATTCAGCTATGATCCTGAAACTGGTCACACTTTTGAGGCGTGGTTCAAACGCTGGGAAGACGTGTTCCGAACAGANCCGAACAGACTTCAGTTGACAAGACGATGCATGGAAAGTGCGCCTGCTGGTCCCAAAATTTGGAAAACACTGAACACTCCAGATTTGTTGACCACATTCTCCCCAAACAAACAAGGGATTTGAAATTTGACGAAGCGGTGGCACAATTATCAGAAATCTTTGGTGAGACAGCTTCACTGTTCAGTAACCGATACGAATGTCTGAAAATTGATAAACGGAATGAAGAGGATTGTGGCATGCTTGCTGACAGAGTGAATCGTGACTGCGAACGTTTCAAACTTCGCTCACTGATCGATGACCAATTCAAGTGGCTCAGTTTCATCAGAGCACTGCTGAATCCAGAAGATGCCGATATTTGTACTCGCTTACTATCCAAACTGGATCAAGACCCGGATATGAACCTGAAGTCTCTCATGGCCGAGTGCAAACGCCTTATCTCCCTGGATCATGACATTGTTTTGGACGAACAGAAGACATCCACAACTGACGTTCACGCAACGCATTGCCCAAAGAGTCAGCCATCAATGAAGAACTTCAGATACGTGAAACGCCCCACCAGTAAGCCAAATTCTGCATATTGGCCGTGTGGCGAATGGCTTTTTGTACGTTTTTGCCCATTCAAAAAGCACATCTGCCAAAAGTGCAATAAACAGGGTAACAAGGAAGAATGCTGCTGGTCAACTAGACACACTCAAGGCAGTCAAAAGAAAGCAGTTCACAGAAAGTCCAACAAACGATTCTCGGAAGCACGCTCAGTTGTTGCAGCTTTTCAAACAGATTACCAGCCAAAGAGAGAAATTCTCCACTGTGCTCCTCAATGGCAAACCAGCCAAACTGCAGTTGGACACAGCCTCAGACATTACGCTAATCTCTAGAGGCAAATAGAACCACATTGGGAGGCCACAAATGATTCCACTTCCCAAAAAAAAGAAAAATGCTTCAGGAGGCGAGCTGAAACTAACTGGTGGAATCAAATGTGACATTTTGTTCCGAGGTATCACCACAAAAGGAACATGTTATCTGACCGATCGACCGGACCTGAACCTCCTTGGTCTTGATTGGATCGAGAAAATCGGATTACTTGATATTACCATGAACGAAGTATGCCATCAAGTCCGAATGCAGACCAGGTCGATCGCGGGCATAATACAATTACAGAAATTCGCATCTGTTTTCCAGGAAGGCCTTCACCATTGTACAAAGTTTCATGCTTCACTTTCATCGAAGCCAGATTCCAAGCCGGTGTTTAAATCCAAACGCCCTGTACCCTACGCTACCATCGAATTAGTCGACGCTGAACTAGACCGATTGCAACAATCTAGTGTCATCAAACCGATCAATTACTCATCATGGACAGCTCCGATTGTGGTCGTCAAGAAACCCAATGACAAGGTGCGCATTTGTGCCGAATTCTCAACGGGTCTGAACGCCTCACTAGCAGATCATCAATATCCACGTCCAACACTAGAAGATATCTTCGCAAAACTGAATGGTGGTATCTGTTTCGCCAAACTTGACTTATCAGAAGCATATCACCAAGTGAGCGTTGCTGATGACACAAAGGAGCTACTGACGATAAACACTCGTCGTGGTTTGTTTTAGTACGATCGTTTGTCTTTCGGTGTTAAGTCTGCGCCAGCAATTTTTCAGCAGCTGATGGACACGATGTTCACTGGTATCACGGGTACTGCAGCATATTTGGATGATATAATCGTTATGGTCCGCACTCACGAAGACCGGTTTAACCGACTAAATACAATGTTGAAACGGATTCAAGATTATGGTTTCAGAATCCAAGAAGACAAATGTGACGTATTCATGCCCTCCATCAAGTATCTCGGTTTCATTCTGGACAAAGATGACCGTCGACCAGATCCAGAGAACATAAAAGCCATTCAAAATATGCCACCACCAAAGCATTTAGCCACCCTTCAGATAATTTTTGAGCCGCGTAAGTCACTACAGTGTATTTGTTCCTGATATACATCGCGTCCGAACCCCAATGAACCAACTTCTAGCCAAAGATCAACCATGGCATTGATCAACAGACTGCCAGAACGCCTTCGATTGTGTCGAGTTAATGCTCGGCTTAGACCTGCTCCTGACACATTTAGACCTGGTACTTGGTATCATTGTGGCAGCCAATGCTTTAAACAGTGGAGTTGGTGCAGTCATCTCTCACAAATTCCTAGACGGATCACAAGGCCGTTTCACATACCGCTAGATAGTTAACTACAACGGAGCGAAACTACAGTCGAATTGAATTGATGCGACGAAGTTTCATAAAATGCTATACGGTCGAAAATTTACACCCCTCACCGACCACAAGCCACTGATGGCAATTTTCGGCCCCCAAAAAGAGATTCCAATCTATACTGCTAACCGCCTTCAACGTTGGGGACTGCTCCTTCTCAGCTACGATTTTAAGATCCGCTATCAGTCGAATACCTCATTTGGTCAAGCAGATGTGCTGTCAAGGCTTATCAACTCTCAACGGCCAGAGACCGAAGAAAGAGTCACTGCTTCGATATCGGTGGAAACAGACATTAAATTCCTCGTTACCGATGCTCTACGCAATACCAATAACAGCTGAAGAAGTTCGGGAGGAAACATGACACGATCCCCTACTAAATAAGGTCACACAATTCCTCCACACTCGTTGGCAAACATCGTACGACTCCACAGAAATGCGGCAGTTCGCCCAACGGAAAGATTCGATGTCGATTGTGAACGGCAGCATTTTATTCGCTGAAAGAGTTGTGATTCCAAAGACGCTACAGAAAAGAGTGCTCCAACAATTCCACACCGAACGCCCGGAAATAAACTGCATGAAGTCACTCGTCCATAGTTATGTCTAGTGGCCGTTCTTTGATAAACAACTGGAAGAACTCATCCAAAGCTGTCGCCAATGCACCTTTGCGTCCAAGATGCCAGTAAAAACCAAACTTTCCAGTTGGCCAATTCCTCACAAACCCTGGTCGCGTATTCACATTGGCTTTGCAGGACCGATCAACGGTCATTCTTACCTTATCGCTGTCGATGCCTTCAGCAAATGGCCCGAGATTTTCCTCATGGATAACCCTACGTCAACCTCAACAATCGCAAACATCCGGCACCTTTCAGTCGTTTTGNGTCCCTGAAACGCTACTTAGCGACAACGGCACTCAGTCCATATCGCGACAATTTATGGAATTCCGCAAGCAGAACGGCATTATTCACATCTACCCCCCTCACCTTTTCATCCGCACTTGAACGGAGAGATTTGTGGATACCTTCAAGCGAGCACTCCAGAAGTCAAGAGGGAGCAACCGCTGAAGTCATTGAAAGGTTTCTGTTTCTTTATCGGTGCACTCCACATCCGAACTCGCTAAAAGGAGTTTCCCTAGACAAGAGACGCACGCATCGATCATACGTCTTGGTATAAAACAACAATACAGATCTTGATCGAATGAAAGGAACACGGTTAGTTTCCGTTAGATTGAATATGGGTATCGTATGCTAAATGGAAATAATTTTGACTTCAGTGTGCTGTGTTTCTCTGGGTCTTGTATATCAAACCACGGTACACCATCGTATTCAAAAGTCACAAGACAGTGTGCGTGCGTTTGGTAATCAACAGTATAGCGTAGTAAATGAGTTCGCAAAGTCAAAATGAACAGTCGGTTAGTTGGTTGTACGTATTTCGACCGCAATGAGTTTTGGATTGTGAGGGTAGTTTACCGGTGCTCGCGTATAGCAACCAACTTGCACATTCCGTTTTGATTATTGTTTCACATGGAATAAATGAGTTGCAGGATAACCTTAGCATAAACAAAAGCGGATGTTACAGATACCAGTAATGATAAAACAAATACAGAATATGTTAAACCTTCCCTTTTCCAAATCATACAACGTTCCTAAATTAAGTTGTAGACAATTTTGCAGTGAAGAGAAACAGAAACCCAAGTGGTGTATCAAACAGAACGAAAGCGGAATTATTGAGGTATGGGAGCATGAGGCGAAGGAGTCGAAAAAGCAAAACACTCACGATAATATGCGTAACATTTCCAGATTGTCTACGGTGTTTTGGCGCTGTCCTAAACCCGGGCATTGTGTGGATGGTTGACTCCAAGTGGTGTCTACAATATTGGTACACGTGGACGACGGGCTGGAAGACTTGTCCTCAGGAATCAGACGAATCAGGTGGAGAAGGAATCGTGCACAGGCCACGTGTATCACAGCCCATCTCCGGAAGCTGATGGAACTTTCATGAACATCATCAGGCCGGAGCTGAAAATAACACAAAATGCAAGAGGATCATGTAGGCAATTCATCAGTGGAAACTAATAAACGGAAAGAGCATCACGAATCACATTCACAACCCTAACTTAAAAGGTAGACAGTGATAGAAAGTTCATGGCACGTTCATGAAATAAAAAGCAGTAATGCAGCGATAAAAAATCTATTTCGTGGAACTTTTATTTTTTACAGTCCCATGCGAAGAGAACCGTAGTCATTGGGGGAATGTGAGCAAATCTTGCGAGTATAGTAAACATTGGTATCTCGAAAACCACTCAACCTTTTTTGAAGGACAGACCTTTAGTTCTTGAATAGAGTAGCGCAGCCTGTAAGACAACATTATGATAGCTTATGTATCTCCGGTAAAGTACCAGAATCACACACGTTGCAAGGTTTTCCGTGGACATTTTTGTTGCATAGAGATCACCTACTGAGGCAAATCGACACTGCTCGTCCTCGAACATGTAGTCCGGGCTGTAGAAAACATCACAACACAACACAACAGAATGTAAAAAAGGAGATCCATATGATGTGCTGGTAGGGACATTCCGAGGGTAAGCACATTGTACTATTTCGAGGTGGAGTCTCCCAATGACTACTGTTTTTTTAACTGAAGCCATCACCTATAAGTAAGACATAATCACAAGTAGAACACCATAGTCAATTTCATTGCTTTTTGTGACAAATAATTTTATTAGATTTATGAAAACTGCTTAATTCAATGTTTGCTGCCCGGTATCATTTCTAGCCCACGCAATGGTTTTCCATCCCCTCCGTGATAGATCTGCAAGGTTAACAGGGAGTAGTTGATCCCGCACGTACCCGTGTTTGTGCAGCGGTGCAGATTACATCATTTAGGCGTTTGATCATTTTAGTGCAGAGTTCGACACTGGTCACAGGTTGTGAAGTGAGTGCCAACAAAATGTGATCGAAAAGCCGAAGAAGTGCGTTAAAATCATTCCGATCGTTCAGAATGGCCATACCCGAGCCTAGATGGGCCGTAATTGCATTGAATACCTGAAATGAAGGGAAAAGTCAAAGGCGGTGGAGTGGTTGATAAGGTGCTATACATGTAACAGTGAGGGCGTTTTAACAACGTGAAGATTTGTGGAAATGACGAAGCCGCGATAATTATTCCATTTCACATATGGCCTGCTAGTCTGGCATGCATTTGGCCTCACTTTCAAAGAGAAAAGGAGTATCATTCGAGTTCGGATAGTAAAGCGACTACTGGGTAGCGAGAAAACGGAAGAGATTATCACACCTGACATGTACAACAAGCTTCACAGTGAGAAGGTATTGAATGACAAGATAAAATGTTAGTGAGCAGTTGACCAGAAGTCTCCATTTCCACCTTGAAACTGCTTTAAATGTTACACTCTTTCCTCTACTTCTTCCTCCCAATGGACAACCAAAAGACGGTAACCAAAACTGCAGCAGGAAAGTGCGTGTTTCACGGTATTATAAAATGGGACCGGAACTGATAAGGATTATTCCATTGCCACTACTATATCACTGAAGCTCTTTCTAGAAGCTATGACGGTTTTATGGGCAGGTATAAATCGGCTTGGATGGAAATTTACCTCATTTTGCCATCCTGACGTTATGAGTATGATACACTTCGTTTGCCTCAGAAATTTCTTGTATTCTATACAGGACGTCTGGTGTGCGATCAAGCACTGTAGGGTCTGCTCGGAAATCAAGCTTTGAAAGGTTCAATATTGACTTTAAAGACCATTACCGTCTGTAACCAATAGCAAATGTCTGTAATCAACGACTACTCGTGGAACGTTTCTGTGTTTTATAAAGATTATTGTACCATGATTGCTTGGCACAGTCTGTCCTCAGACAAGTGTAAAATGTAATAATAATAATACANCACACTCACGCTTTATGTTTGCATCTACGTGAGCGATTACGACATGCGAAACCGTTATCACTTGTTGATGTCTGCGGTGTACGGCGCACGTCACATATTCATTCTGATTACAGTCCCATATTCATTGCACAGGAGTTGTGTGACTTCCTGTTCGGCCGACAGGTGTCAAACAGCAGCATGAAACCGTACAATCCGCAAGGTAGTGGACAGGTCAAATATACACATGCCACATCATGGAAAACTATTGTGTCCGGTCTGAAGTCGCAAAATCGATCAATTAGTCCATGCGATCATTTGCTATTGGACGCCTTACATTCGATTCTATTGCACCTGAGTACAATGCAACCCTAGACAAGAAAGTTTTTTCACCAAGCTATTCGGTTTGTGGTGAATTTAATCCAGCATGACTTATGAGGCCTGAACCGTCACACTGTCAGGACGGTCATCATAGTGTTGTGAGGTGCTACTCACATTTTTGAGTAGTATGGAAAATAGATCGTGATTCCTTTCGACGATCAAAAATTAAGATCACTAAGGACAAATTGCTGCATCCGAAAGAATAACTATCGCTTGCTACAGTCATTACCCGTTGTGCCGTCAGGAACTGCGATGATGTGTTTCAGATGAGATTTCTGTGTTATGTATGTCAAATTAGTGACATCCCAACTGTAATCTAAAATAAACGACTATTATCGACCGAGCACCGTCTTGTGGAATTATAACAATAGTAAGAAGAGGCAAGCCTCCGAAGTATGCTGACATCCGTCTCAGGGATGAGAGGGGAAAACCTGTGTCATTCCGGCAATTGGCATCGGTGGGTGAAAAATTGCAAGCATCGGACACTTCCACTACAGAGGGATCTGATCGGAAGAGTTAATCGATCACGTCGCATTGAACCATAGCCCACATCTTAATCCTCACCACTCCATCAAGAAAGACAATGCCAGAATGCTGCTTCAAAAGAAATCAGTTTACCACATTTGTTCTCATTTACGTGCATACTGTTCGAAT